TTATATGTAATCATATTTTTTTATATAAAATATTCCACAACATAGAAAAAAAAATATTTTTTTTTTTTTGGGTGTGCCATGTCTGACTCAGGGGGAGTTATCGCATCCTCCACTGCTGCCCTCGAGCCACGAAGGCACTTATTGCTCTCAATTTATAATATGCTGCTTGAACGGAGCATTTTCTAAAGCTTCAGCCTAATAATTAAGTAACCTTTTACCTTTTCATAATGTGTGAAAAGCAGCTATACACGCTACAGTCGCTACAGTTAGAACAAAAGGCAAAAAAATAAATAAATAAATAAATAAAAAAAATAAAAAATAAAATAACCACCACAAAACGAGAATACATGAGGTAGAAACTTGCAAGACAATTTCACAGAGCTGCCATTATAAAACTTCTGAAAATTACAACCCAATTCAACTAGTAAATGGTTTGGTGAGCTATGGTTTTGTTTATGTGCAGATACATTCAGATTTAAATGAAGGAATGTTTGAAAGTAGAATAAACACTTCTTAGCCTTAGTTGTGTTGTTTTTGTAAGAGTAGATGCAGCCATGTCAATACCATAATGCTTTTGCAATGTAACATATCAATGTAATAAAATTAGCAGAGAAACTCACTTTTCTAGTCAAAGTTTTTATTCTTATGGCAAATAGGTACATAAGTGGAAAATAAATGACTTTGTAATTGAGCTGTCAGACCATCAAAACACGTCTCTGACGTTACATTTGAGTCAGCATGAAAAATGTTTAACTGTTTAATTAAATTACTTGTTTATCATCAGAGATGACATTAACTGGTGGTGCAGGCAGTGTGAAGTGAAGCATAGCTTAGACGAAGGCTTGGGACAAATTACATTGTCATGTAGGCTAAAAAATAAAAAATAAATAAACCAGTTTTCTTTCTTATATATATATATATATATATATATATATATATATATATATATATATATATATATATATATATATATATATATATATATATATATATATATATATATATATATAATGAGAAAGTGCAGCAAAATGTTTATCTAGAATTTGAGAGAACACTTAATTTTAGGGCCGATAAGTAGGCACTTAAGTCATTATAGAGATTAAATAATCATATTACAAACTGAGTTAAGGTTCTTCTGTGTGAATGCTCTTCACACAGAAGAACATTACACTATGTTCTTCTGTGTTTAGATGAAATCTGTGCTATTCCTGCCTGAATAACATGTTCAACATGATTTAGCCATGTTTGATGGCTAAATCATGTTGAGGGGCTGAACCTGTGGTTTTGATGCAATGCACAAAATAATTAACAAAAAATTAATTTAAATCATCTCCAGATTTTTCATTTGAACCCCTGTGAAGTAAAAATTGTGTTATTATTTCTTTTAAGAATTTTATTTTAATTCTTTAGTCATTTAACACTAGTATTGTTTAGTCTGTTAAACCGTGTAGGTCAAGGAGTCTTTGAAGAATTAGTTAGATAGGTTTCCTTTTGACCTCTCCTTGGAAAAGTTCCACTAGGTTGTCAGTGACTAAAATAAGGCGCCAGTGTTTGTTAACAGATAACAATAAACAGGTTAAGTTATTGTAGTGAGATGGAATAAACCCTAAGGCTTAACAAATTCCTCCATTAAAATGTCCCAAGCTAAGGCTACGTGCTGAGTGCACGTACGAAGTCTGATAATGTTCTTGTTATGCAAAATTGTTCCATTAGTAAACCTGATTTTTGAAATGCATTCTCTCTACACCCTGTTAAGAGTGACTGTGCATTAACCTTTTCGACTGGAATTGGCTCTGGGTCAGGGAGTGACCACATTGTATAGAGTCGTATGTATTGTGAGAGCTTTTAGCTCCAAGTCAGAACTCATTGTAGGTAAGGCTGTTGTGTTGTGGTTACTGTGTGTTCTCCGTTTGCAAACGACTGAAATAAAGATTTTGCTCTTTGCCATTTGCCAGAGTCTCAAGCCTGATCTGTTACTACAGATTAGATTTTGTTTTTTCCACACCCCAAAATTAACAGGTCTGATCAGAGCAGAAATTCAACACATGGAAGAAACCAGGTCGACCCAAACACACAAAACTGGCTAAGGAACAGATACTGAAGGCCAACATTGAGCAAGACATTTAACCAAAAATATTGACTGGCGTATGCATATATTTGAGCTTTTATATTTTTTGAGCATATGTATCACAAAAAGTTTACAACTCAAATTCATCCCTCCTATTTTTGTTAAAAAAACAGAAGGTGCTCTGTTTTTTAACAAAAATCGGTCTCTCCGGCAAATTGAGCAGACATTCTGTAGCATGAGAGTTTCAATGACAAAATGTTTCCTTAAGTAGAAAATTCTAGGTACAACTTAAATTATTTTTCTTTTTGTAGCTTTTCTTGGTTGCAAAAATGAATCAACTTTTCACTAAGCAGACTTGGGCACTAGCCTTCATTAAGCTTGACTAAATACAGTAAAGGTTTCCAAAATCGAAAAGATTTGCCCCAAAACATCAGGAAAAACCATTCACTTATTAAGAGAAATGTCAGAGTACAATATCAGACATATAGTAATCTCCTATTTATTTTGTTGAAATATTTTGTTTAATGTATTGTTGAAACATAAGTCTTCACTGCCTTAGAAGATGTTAACCAATTTAAAAATTAAACTGAACTTTCCTACAATGTTTGATAACCAAGATCAAATTCAAATGACTTTGAATGTCTTACATTTAAAACAAAGTGGATGAATCCACTTTTCATTAGCAACTCAATCTCTTAGGAGTATATATATAATATTTGCTTTCTTGTGCACTTTGTAAACCATTTTACTATTTTTATTGAAATAAAATGAGGTTTTACCTTTGAAAATCAAGCCCAATGTGTCCATTAAACTCTCAGGGGTGACTGTGGACAGAGAGGCAAACATCTCTGATTCTGGGAACCAACTGTGAGCTTTTACACAAAGCTTCACAGCATTCCTGCAGAGAGAGGAGCACAGACATTACCTGACTAATTCTAGGCTGTGTGACGGACCAGATCCATGAGCAGCGTCACGACCCATCAAACTCAACCGGTTATTAGCATCACCTGTATTTGTTGACACGGAGGTACTGAGCTATCTTCACTGCAGTTGCTCTGTCGTCATCTTCTGGTTTTTCATCCTCCACGTCCCCACCTTCGTTGTTCTCTTCCTCTGCGTCACTTGTGGGCTCCAGGGTTGTCCTGACAGTAAGAAGGAGCTCAGGCTCCATGGCAGCCCACAGCTCAGACGCCTTGATTACTGTGACTACAGCAAGGAAAAGGAATATATACATACATTTATTATATTTCACTGGGAGCTAGTCGTGTAAAAGCGCCAAAGAAACATTTGAAACCAATGTATTGAAAGATTAAAATAGCAACAGATAACTGTATTTTTCTCTAATTACGTGGACTTATTCCTAAATGTAAAAAAAATTCTAACATTTCTGTTCAGACAGCAGCACTGAGCGACAATTAATTTAGGATTTTATCTTGAAATTTAATTTGGAGGAAAAGGCAATTAGAACTGCTGATGTGTCATAATTCAAGCTAAAAACTATTACAGTCTTAGCTCATTTGCATGAATGTTTTCACTAATTACATTTCTAACTATTAAAAATGCCAGACATAATAAATGTGGGAAATTTTTTATAAGATTCAAAGTTAGACCTTTGGGATTTCTTTTAATCAGCACATATTCATGTGGTGGGTTTATGAAAATTTGAATCAGCCCTCAGATTGTTAAAAGTAACAGCTCATTGATCACTGAACGGCAGCAAGACCAGAGTGGGCTTCTTGCATCAGACACTCACACCCACACACACAATGTAAGCTCTGTTCCTAAGATTAGTCCACTGTGACTCTAAAGGAATAATTTGGATTGAGCCAAGTCTCTGTCGGCAGGCCCTTACAGCAGAGCAGAAACCCTCCTCTGCACTACCAAGATTACCTGCCATTCAAATGCAACAAGAAGCCAACACTCATTCAGTGAGCTCACATTCGCCTTGGTTTCATCACTGGGCAAAAACAAATTACATGTATGATGAAAGAAATCTAACAGAAGCAGAGAAATCTGAAGGACTATCACAGAAGGTGTGATTACCAGGTGCTTTTCCCTCCAGCTTCTCTTTCATTTCTCTGAGTTTTGCCGTTTCTGTTTCCAAAGGTTTCTTCAGATCTGCACTACTCAGCTGAAAGACAAGAACAAAGCTTTGTGTTGTGAAACTTGAAATATTCCCTCTATTCACAGTTTACAATCACACCAGTTTGAATTACCTTGCAGCTATAGGGATTGTGTGCAATGAAAGCTGCCAACAGCTGGATGGCACTCTTCACTGCATTTATTGATTTGTCCATCAGGCGCCCAACAGCGAGCCCCATCACCTCACTGTACCTACACAGGGGCAGCGCCTGAACACACACACACACGCACACACACACACACACACATAAAAACCACTTAATTACCATCAGTTTTATTATTTTGTCCTAAAGTTTCAGTGTTGTCATGTTGAAAAATGACAAACATTTCATATTTAAAATACAATTTAAAACTCAGTCAGTTTTAGATAACCAAAGCATGACAACACATTGTCAGAATAGCAGGGGAAAAGCAAGGGGACAAAAATTGAGCTTTGTGGAACACCATTAGTTAAATCATAGCTTTCACTGTCAAAGTATTTCATAAAAGCAACGTACCTTGCTGTTGACAATTCGTGTGTAAACTTGCAGCACACGTGCTCTGACATGGGAGTGTGTGTCATGGAGATGTTCCTGCAATATGTCAAAGAAGCGGTCGCGGTCGGCTCTGCCAGACTCATCCAGCCCGTCGCCACATAGGACGCGCACAAGAATTTCTCCAAGCACCTCACAAACAGCAACACGCATTGTGTGGCTCTAGAAAACAAATGCAAATCAAAAGGTTTAAGATATGAAGTACTTTTTCCCCCTCTAGAAAGTTAAAAAAATAAAGATGAGATACAAGATGAGTCTGCCCTCAGATTACCAAAGACGACAGTCACAGCTCAGCGAACAGCAAAAAGAGCTGGATGAACTTTTTGCCTTCTGCACACACACACATACACCACACACACAAACACACTGTCAGCATCAGCCAAAGCAATTACTCCGCAGTAACTGTAGAGGAATAATTCTGGCTGAGCTAAGTCTCTGTCGGCAGGCCCTTACAGCAGAGCAGAAATCCTCCTCTGCACTGCCAAGATTACCTGCCATTCAAGGCAACAAGAACCCAACTCTCGCTCAATGAGCTCATATTCGCCTTGGTCTCATCACTGGGCAGAACATGAATGAAACAAAAACAAACAAAAACTCTGCCAAGCTGTGCAAGGGAGGCAGAAGCTGCTGAAACAACAGAAGGTGTTAAGAGATTGTCCCATATTTGTATGTAGAGCATAAGAAAATTAGTTCTTGGGTGAAAATGTGGGTGCAAATGAGGCTCCGCATGAGCTATATTGCCGTTTTTATCTGTATAATTTGTCAATAAGAAGGGGATGGGCTGGTTATGTACTGTAGGTACATCATGATTTTTAAAGTCACTGCGCCAAAAATTTTCAACATAATTTGAACATCAGCCATGTCAACATCAGTCGTTTTAATGAGATTACTTTCTTAGTGACCATAGTTTCCTCCAGCTGTATGGAGCAACAAGCAATAACAATACCCTCAGCTCCTTGCTGCTACACACTGCCAGTCAGCAGCCTGAAAAAAGGCAACAACACTCACCTAATGCCCACAAGAAAGAAAAATTAGGCTTGGAAATATTTCTCATCTCAGGTATTGGTGATGTAGAAAATAAAGAAGTGCCTCCTTCCACCTTCGTTAAGATAATGCTGTTAAAGCTACCATTAGCAAGAGTAGGCATGAAGGTCACTTGGTTAGTCTGGTTAGTTGGTAAACAGACTAACCAATTAACAGCATGTTAAACTCCAAAGAAATACATTTTGCTTTAATATTTGTATCAATAAAATGAATACATTTGATGATATAAATATGAGTCAGAGTTATGTTAAGTTAGCAGAGCTGGGAATAATAATTGAAGATTGGTTTTAAAGAAAAGCGGATAAATCATAAATATTGTTTTTCATCATGATGCAGTTTCCCCCCAGTATATTAAGTCATTACAGAAATCTGTGATTGCAGACTTTTGTGATTATCAAATTACTAAAGTCTCATAAAGATGTCAAAAAATGCATTATTTAGATCACAAACCTCTCCTTCCAGGTGGGTGATAAGGACACTGATGTTTGGGATCATTAATTCTGGTACCAGGCCACTGAGTTCTGACAGAAAAGAGGCAAAAGCTTTGACACCAGAACCTTCTCTGGCAAGCTCTTCACTTGATTTCTGACCAATTTCCCTGAAGAAAAAAAAAAGTTTTAAAAACAGATCTCAAATAAAACTGAAGTTTAAAATCGTCAGTAAAGAAAAAATGTACTGACCTTATCACTTCTCCAATAATTGCCCGGACTCCATACTCTGTGCTCCACACAGACACAGCTTGTGCAAATACTGAGGACAACTGCTCAAAGTGTTGTAGCATCTGGATGACCTTCACACTGGCACCTGATAGAATTCAGATAGCAACATTAAAAATAGAACAAATTTTAAACAGCAAATATTTCCATGTTGTATGAACAACATTCACAAAACCACAGGCAGCTGGGAAACAAACCTAAAAGGTGGTTGTATTTGGTGATCAGTATGCCGAGAAGGTGAATTATACAATCTCTTGTTGGTTTGTTCTTGACATGACTGATGGTTGGATTCTCCAATAGCTTGTAGCAGCAACAAGTCACACAACTGTGAAGAATTCAAGATGATGTTTTAATTTTGTTAATCTAAAGCCATATGAGCTACTCGAGGACCAGTTTCTAGATGCTATAAGACAACTGATTCAAATGCTCCCACTATATCCTCAGCATGTCAAAGTTCTGCATGGACCTGTTAATGAATCACCATTTATTGTTATAACAACCTAAAATTAAAAAGATGTTAGGGCTGAAATTGCAACTAAAACACAAGACAAATGGCTCCTAAGAAAAATTTGTTTGTGAACTGATCACAGAGGAAACAAGCAATTCCCAAAGTTTTGAGATCATCTTAGAAACTAATTTAAGATGAAGTTATACATAAATGAATAGTTAGAAGCAAGCATGTTATGCAAGTAAATTAAAAGCAGAGCCTGGCCCAGAGCTGAATTGACATTGAAGTACCTGATGAACTCCTCTTCCACGAGGGAGAGGCTCCAGAGACAACGGATATCCAGCTGAAGGAGCTGCACAAGAGCATGCAGAACCCGCTCTCTCTCAGAATCCCACTGCATGAGTCCTTCTCCACCACCTTTACCTTTTTTACTACCCTGTTACACACAAAGAAAGCAAGGCCTTTCAACTCTAATAGTTCCAAATGGGAGATAAAATGAAAATATATCCCATAGAAAATATATCCTCAGATTACCAAAGATGACTGTTCATATCTTTCAAACCTGCTATAGAGTTTGCAGCCTTTCGTCAGCTGACACATACACATTCACAGAGGGACAAACAAGAAGCTAAAAACTGTTTGACATCTTCTACATATCCCACAAAATTTCTCATCATGGGTATAAGTTGTAGAAGATGGAAGTTTGACTATAGGGGAGCCCTTACAGCAGTGTAATAAAATTCGATCACACCACCAAGACTACTCACCAAACAGCTGACTAAGAACCACAGTTTCTAAGTATGATCAGATCATAAATAATGCCAAGGTCTCATCACTGGATATGGTCACATGAAGATTACTCAAAAATGAAAGTCACTGACTATATCGTTTAGCCACTAATAGTTTTACCTTTCCAGGTGCTGTGACGATACTTTGTCTGTAGGAGACACTTTCAAGGCTCTCCGTGAGTTTACATAGCAAGAAGACACTCATTTTAACGGCATTTAGTTTTTCTTTGCGCTCTGCAGTTGAGAAGGTGGTGGAAGTGAGAGCCGTTGGAAGAGAAACAGCCAGATCACTGACCACTGAAAGAAAAAGAGACCAGTTAATGAAGCAAAGGGCTAAAAGGATGTCTATTTAAAAAATATATATTTATACACATACAACAGCCTAACCTTTAACAAGTAAATCCAAGGTATCCTCTTTTACCCCAAGCTCCAACGAATTAAAATGTCTAAAAATTAAAACACAATAGCTTTTTATGATTAATATTGATGGTAATATTTACAAGAATTACATGGTAAGTACTTACTGCAGCACACTGTAACCTGTATCAAAGTGTTCCAGGATACATGAAGGGCCTTGGCTTCGTAGTCCCATTTTGAATTCTGATGCAAAGAAGTAAACATTTATTTACACCTTTTTATTTACAATATTTCTACTCCTGGTTTAAAAAATAAATGCAAAAACCTCAAAACATGAGCGGAAAAAAGGAGTGGAGAACACAAAAACACTTAAAAATTTTCACGTCAGAAGCTGAGGTAAAATATATTTCAAGTTTTGTACAAAAAATATTACTTGCACATAATACACCAATAACATTTGGTTAGAGAGCACGAAAACTTGGGGAAATGGATCACAAGTGCCAAATCTTGAAACAAGTTTATTTCCAAATATTTTGTCAGTGAAACAGGAACAAGAACTCACAATGTTTGCTGAATTTCCCTTTTTTAATTAACACAGGTTATCCATTTAAGTAAGGAGCAAAAAATGGGAGAAACTGAACTAATCGATCAAAACAAAATCGATCAGTTCACTACAATCACCATAATGCTAGAGTACATGGAATTTCAATCATACGTACAAAGACATAAGATCACATCCAATTAAAAATACTTACTACTGAGATGGGATGGCAGTTGTTTTGCCGGAATCACATCTTGAACTACGTACTGGTTAATACCTCCCGTTTTAACCAGGTCTCCCACACACACTGGCACCAAAAAGTCCCACGACATCTCTGTGTAACAAAGACAACTCAAAATTCATCAAAACTTTGACCAACTCAGACACAAATAAGCGCTAACGTTACGATCACTTCCAGATGTATTTAGCTAATTGTTGGCACTGGTCGAGGGATTTAATAAATGCATTTTGGTGCATAAAAAATAAAACCAAGTTAAAAGTTGTCTTGTAAGCAGAGAAACAACTAAGTTGTTGTGAGTGGTTCAAGCCACTAATGCTACTGAAGCTAACACGATAACTAGCATAAATTAGCCGAAAACTCACTAGTCTTCACGTAAGTTTTAGGCGGACATTGTGTCAGAATTTCCATGTTTACAACTTAGAAACTTTAACAAGGTAAAAACACAACGTTACCCCTTTCCGTGGCAGCACGTTTCGGTACTTAAAATCTCTTTGGGAAATTTGCCTGCTGCCTGCCTTCCCACCGTCCGTAAACGGTTTCCGTCCGGACTTTTTCAAATTTGATGCCACCGCGCGCCAAAGCAACGAAACGATGACGCATATCGCGTCAGACCTTGTTTTAAATTCTGACCCAATACCACCACCTGGTGGCCATCTACGCACAGTACATCACATAGTGGAAGCTACCAGTTGAGCGAAAAAAAAGACAAGACCAGAGTGTTTTTTGAGGTAGTAGCTGTATTGAAATGATTGACAGCCCTATCATCCCCTCACCCCGGCACCAATATTTCAGCTACAGAAATGACAATACTTTTCAAGAATGTAGTTTAAATTCTATGCAGCAGTCAAATAAATTTTTTTAAATTAAAATGGGTTAATTCACTACCACATATATCTAATGCTGTGTCACAAAGCAGGTTTTGTCTTATTAATGTATCTAAAAATAGTGTTTCAATTTTAAACAAGGGCAAATTAACAATACAAAAAACAAAACCATTCAAGGCTGATTTTCATTAATACGTAGAAACTTCTCACTTGTCCATGTGAATATCATGTTAATACAGTATTGTATATCAGAGCCACAACTACTAGTCCAAATGGAGCAGCTGTAGTGTTTAATAGTTATGTGGACAAAATTATATATAAGAAAAAGTCACAACAAGAGCACCAAAGATAACTAAAAAAAACTAAAAACTGTTATGCATAAAAAAAAAAAATTAAATATGTTTGTAACCGTCTGGCTCCTTCACGCACTGCATCAGACCAAGGCAAGGATGTAAACCAAAGAGTAAAGCACCAAATGTAAAACAAATATGTCAAACAAAAATGAAGAAAACTTTTTTTCTGTGTTTTGTTCCAGAGTGACCAGGTGAATCACTTTCTCTTTCTGTCTTGAGAGCAGCGTGGACAGTACCTGCAGAGGGGGAAT